CCCTTTATGTCAATAATTTCTCTGAATGACATGATCTCTCTTATGTCAGGACTAAGATCCCCTATAAAAAGACATAGAGTAGATGGATAGATCATGAAAGAAAATCCATCCATTTGCTGTGTAAAGAAAACATAACTCTCGAGATAAATGCAGACTTGGAGTGAAAGGATGAAAACAATCACACAAACCAATGGAAGAAAAAAAAGTTGGGACAGCCATGCTTATATCAGACCAAATTTTATCAATATAAAGAAAGTAATTAGAGACAATGGTGGATGTTGATTTCTGCCATAATTTTTATTTTTTTCTATCCTACTTCTACTTTTTGGATTTGTTTTTTCCTCTCCTACATTTTTTAGATGTGTATATGGTTTATTGATTTAGGTTTTTCCTTCTTTCTTAATGTGGGCATGCTTTGCTATGAATTTCCCCCTTAGTATAGCTTTTGCGGCATCTCATAGATTCAGGAAATTTGTGTCTTCATTCTCATTGGTTTCGAGGAATCTTTTGATTTCTTCTTTGATTTTTTCTTTGATCCAATTATTTTTTTAGCGAAGTTTTTTTCAGCTTCCAAGTGTTGTGATTTTTCCCACATTCTCTCTGTGGTTCATTTCTACTTTCATGGCATTGCAGTCTAAGAAGTTAGTTTGTACAATTTCTATATTTATAAATTTATATATTTGAGTTGTGTAGACTTTAGAGGATTACTTTTCTAATTCTGAAGTCAAATAAACTCATCATAGAAAATGTGTAAATTTTAAAATATGTAAATAAAATAAGAGTAAGTTCACGAAAGAAAGAAAGAAAGGAAGAAAGAAAGAAAGAAAGAAAGAAAGGAAATGAGGTTGGTCAGAGAGAAAATAAGAAATGTAAGGTGCTCGCCTTGCAGACAGTCAACCAGTTAAAAAATCCCCTGTATCACATATGGTCTCCTGAGCCCTACCAGGAATGATCTATGCCAAAAGTAAGGAGAAAGTCCTGAGATATGTTGGGTATAGCCCCCAAGTCCCACTCCCCGACTTCCAACCCCCCAAAAAATGAAAAAAGAAACTAGCCATCAACCTAGGGAAAGGGATGAAAGAAAAGTAATTCATATTACTAAGTGAAAGAAGTCAATCTGAAAACTTTAAGATTTAAATTGTAAGATTCTAAGTATATAACATTTTGGAAAAAGACCAAACTTCAGAGACAGTATAAAGATTAAGTGACTGCTAGGAGATAGTAATGAAGAGACAGATCACAGAAGATGCTTAGGGTAGTGAAACATCTGTATGATCAATAATGACAAATATACATCACTAAACGTTTATCAAAACTCAACTGCAAAAGAAACATGCATCCTAATATGAATTATGCAGTTCAGGTGCTAATCACATGCCAATGTAAATTCATCAGTTGTAACAAATGTATAGTTTTGGTAAGGGATATTGATGTAGCTGTGTAGGCTGGAGACAGAGTTAGCAGCAAGTTCTCTTCACTTACATTCAATTTTTCTTTGGATATACAACTGCTCTAGAAATAAAGTTAATTATCAATAATAAGGGGGAAAGCAATATTTTCTTCATCATTGCCTATTTAACTATGGTAACTATGTCACAGATAAAATTAGGTCAGCAATCATTTGTTAGATTAAGTTTATAACTTTTATTTTCTTTCAGATGACCAAATTCTCAATGAAGATTGAATTCTAAACATTTTTATTTATGGGTATTCAGTAAAAGAAAGATAAAATCAAGAGATTGTGAGAGGAGAAACAAGTCACCCCTGTACTTTTTCCTGTACATTTTCCTGTAATTATTTAAGCCTCAATAGTATCTTGCAATTGAAATTCTTGAGCAGCAAAATAGTTTAGATTGTCCACTTTTTATTTTATTTATTCAATATTAAAATTATCTGTTGCTATCAAAGTTGAAGTTATAGTCAAACACCACCAACAAAAAGCAAACAAATTCTAGAGGCCAGAGAAATAGTACAGAGGATAAGGTACTTGCTTTACGTGTTCTACTTAGATTCAATCCCTAGAATCATATATGGCTTCCTGAGTATAAAGCCATGAGTAAGCCCAAAGCAAAACAAGTGTTTGGTACCCAAACAAAGAAAAGCCATAAAATAAAAATCCAAGTATTCCCCATGGTCTACATTCATTTTAAAATAAAGTAAATATTATTTTAAATATCTTAAAATATAATCATAAAATGTCAATTACCTAGGGCTTTGTTTTAATAAAAGATGGTACAGGGGACACATAACTATTTAGATATTCGCATGAAATTGGTTAAATCTAATACTAAAAAGTAAACATTTGTGCTCATTGTGTGCGTCATTTCTTTCAAGGTTTTCTGACCTTGAAATCTCATCGAATTCTACCAACTTGAAAACATTATTGTTTACAACTCAGCACGTGGCAACCAGAGGGATTTACAAGGTTAAGATGACAGGCATGTCATGTACTTGCATCATGTTTGAAATGTCACTAGCATATCACACACATGGTCGGCATATTCATTTTTCAATATTCATCCAAGTTCTTCCTGTCAAGTGCAGGAAATAGATGCAATATATGACTCAGATACAGATAGAAAAATAGCTTTCCTTTTCCTAATCCTCTGCTCACTGACCGTGCATTCATGTCTCTAGAAAGCAGTAGCTCTAAAATCTTCGGAGATTTACTGTGAAAGCTCAACATACTTATTTTGCTTCTACATTTATTAAAAGCAATGACTGTGTTAAAAATACCAAGAAGGAGAGGTTTTTTATTTATTTTTACTGTCAATGTGGTAACATTAGAATGATTCATATATTCAGCATGTTTATTGTCTCCAAAATTGCTCCCCCCTTACTTATCAGTTAAGAGGAATACATATATATTTTTTTATAAGCCAGTGCCTAACTGCTCTTGAATAGCTAGTATGTATAATATGATTTATGAGGCCCTAAGAAAACAGAATTTAGGCAAGATAAGTTTTTGTTTGGAGGGAAAAAGAATGCTCTGCAATAGAGTATAGTTCTGCAGTGTATCTGCAGTCTTAGTGATAGCAAGCAAAACAAGTTGTCTCTTTCATGTGCAAACTCAAGGAAATTAAAAGAAAGATGCTAAAGGTAGGTAGAACAATCATGAAACAAAGCACATTTTCTTTTTCAATCTTGTTAAGTTTTCCAAGAAGCAATAATTAGGATGACACTACAATTATTCTTTTTTTTTTTTTTGCTTTTTGGGTCACACCTGGCTATGCACAGGGGTTACTCCTGGCTCTGCACTCAGGAATTACTCCTGGTGGTACTCAGGGGAACATATGGGATGCTGGGAATTGAACCCGGGTTGGCCACGTGCAAGACAAACGCCCTACCCATTGTGCTATCTCTCCAGCCCCTACAATTATTCTTAAGGTTATTGATTTTTCAAAGTATTCTCAAAATCCTAAAGTCTTAGAATTGAATAGAGGAAACAAATTAAGTTCTCTTTAAATTATGATATTCCATGAAAAGTTTTTTAAAGGAAAAGAGCTACACTTATTTTTACTGTAAAACAATTAGAAAATAATAAAAAAAACTTAATATATAGTATTGCTCTTTGTCCAAATAAAAAACTTTCAGTTCCTTCATTTTAAAATATGATAATACACTTGAATCCTTCCCTCAGCTTTTAAATACTCATTATCTAGTCCCAAATTAGTTTCCTATCTTTGTTTTCTACCATTTTTTTTGGCCACACAAACCATTGCTTAGGAATTACTCTTGTCAGGCTGGGAAGACTATATGGGGTGTCTGGGATCGAATGCAGGCAGATCACATGCAAGGCAAACATCATTTCTGCTTTATTCCCTCTCATCCCCATGTTTCCTACCATTTTCAACCCAACTCTTTCTCCACTGATGCCTTCATAATCATCCCACCATCTTCAGAATACCTTCCTTTTCTATTTATCTAGAAGGAAGAAGGAGACATTACTGTTGCCTGCTCAAGACAATTGATGAACAATAGGATGATCATGATCGCGATCGTGATCAAGAATTAATTATATACATTACCAGCATAAAGTCAACTTCAACTATTAGTTTCCTTAAATTCTTCAAGCCTCTAATTTTATTAAATAATTCTGCTAATAGATGCTAGCAATATAGGACATACATATATGGAAAATACTACAAATGGTGAGTCTACATGATGAGAGTGGGTGTAAAACAATCTGGTAAATGTGATCTAGCTGCATAGCAGAAGAAGAAAAAAAGATTTTGTATAAAGATAGCCATATTTGGCATAAAAAAATCACCAAATGTATCTGGGTGTACGAGAGATTTCAGTTGTAGTACTATAATATGATTTGCTTATAATAATAATTCCTTGTAGGGTTTTTTTCTTGTCTTACAGTAGCCCCTTTAGTCCTTCTTTTAAGTTTGGTTTTGAGTATCTATGAAGTTACTGAGCTATTGTTTATCCATGAAATAGTGTATTGTTCCTTCGAGTTTGAGTGAGAGTTTAGCTGGATAAAGTATTCTTAGTGACACATTCATTTCATTGAGTTTTTTTCACTATATCCCACCATTATCTTCGGGATTGGAGGGTTTTCCTCTGATACTCTGCTGTAAATCTAAGGGGTGCTCCTTTGTATGTGATTTCCTTCTTTGACCTTGCTGTTTGCAGTAGTGTGTCTCTATCCATGGCATCCATCATTCTGACTATGATATGTCTTGGAGTCATTTTACTAGGGTCTCTTTTAGCTGGCACTCTTCGGGCTCCTTAACAAAGGAAAAAAATCACATAATCCTAGTAAGGATATATCCAAGGTCTTTGGTACTTTTAGTACAGATATTATAAACATGAAAATGAGCACTGTGGACAAGATATGAGTGCTGAAATAGATAAAGGGATATAGATGGTAATCTCTCAGCACTGTTACTGCAAACCATAATGCAGAGAGAGAGAGAGAGAGAGAGAGAGAGAGAGTATGAGGGAGAAGGAGGGAGGGAGGGATGGAGGGAGGGACAGCGTGAGAGAAAGAGAGAATTATACTTTCAGGGATCAGTTCTATAATTTTTTATGAGAGAAGTTTCTCTGATCATGTAGAGTACCCAAAACAATGAGAAGGAACCTAAACATCCTCTCCTGAATATGAAGGAGGTTCAATGTGTTGCTTCTTCAACTACCTTTCACCAAAGTAGACAGCATAACGAATGCCTAGAATCAGTATTTTCTAGGGGAAAAAAGCACTCTGTAGGTAGGAAGTTTCTTTTCCTCCTATATACAGTCCACTTCTTTTTTCTCTTTTTGGGCCATACCCGGTGATACACAGGGGTTACTCCTGGCTCTGCACTCAGGAATTACAAAGGGAACTACATGGAATGCTGGGAATCGAACCCAGATTGGCCGCGTGCAAAGCAAACGCCCTACCACTGTGCTATCGCTTCAGCCCCTCCAGTCCACTTTAAAATATTCAAATATTTGGTTAGTAATCAAGGTGTGGTAAAACATGGTGCCACAGACCTTATTAGATCACAGAATGCTTAGGGTCTACTTGTGCCAGACAATACAGTTACTGCAAGAAATTAGCAATTACAAGTATCCTAGTATCTTGCACAGTTCCTATCATCACCACAGTTGCTATTAGGCAATTGTGACCACAGGCCTTAATCTGTTGTCCTAGCCTGCTGGACACCAAAACCACAGCCACTGTCTGGCATCAGAAGCTGTGAAATATGAGACACATCCAAGCCTGCCAATAAGCTTGTAACTGCAAGTCCACAGCAGTGGTACAGAATGATACAAATTCAAGCTACAGTCCCCCTCTTGAATTTGTAAGCATAAAATACAGATTGCTGCCCTTGCTGGGATAAAATCTGACCCTCACCACTAGCCTTTGACTAGCAGGAGCTACAATGAAGGGGAGTATTTCATCTTGCATCAATGGATGAATATGAAATTCTAGGATGGACCTCAAGCACATCAGAGCTTTTAAACTCTCTGGTGGAGATCTTCAAAGAGAAACGAAGTCAGGCACAGTATGAGAGAATCTATCTGAAAAGTGAACCAAAAATCACTGAGCTAAAAAATGCAGCAGTTGAACTTACAAAGATGAAATAGAAGGGCTTAGCAGAATGACAGAAACCAAGGAATAAATCAGTGTGCTGGAGTGATAGCACAGCGGGAGGGTGTTTGCCTTGTGCACAACCACCCCGGTGGAGCCGGGTTTGATTCCTCCGCCCCTCTCGGAGAGCCCGGCAAGCTACCAAGAGTATCTTGCCCGCATGGCAAAGCCTGGCAAGCTACCCGTGATGTATTCAATATGCCAAACACAGTAACAAGTCTCAAAATGGAGACGTTACTGGACCTGCTAGAGCAAATCGATGAACAACGGGGAGGACAGTGCTAAAAGATAATGTAGGTGAAACTAGAAACTAACCAAAAAAAAAAAAAAGAAGAAAAAAATTTTAAAGCAAGAAAACACAAGAGATATGTGTAACAGAATCAAGAATAATAACAGCGACATCCTTGGAGTTCCCAAAGGAAAGAAAGGGAAGGGAAAGAATTATTGGAGGGAGGCGATACATATCTAGATCCAGGAAGCCCTAAGAACTCCAAATAAGTTTAACTTGGAATAAAAGAACACCAAGATACAATATAATTAAAATGATAAAAGCTAAAATCAGGTAGAATCTAAAAGCAGCAGCAGCAAAGTAAAGATTTACATACAAGGAATTCTCACAGAAGATTTATCAAAAGCAACTCTATAGGCCAGAAGGAAATGACACAGCCAGAAGTGTTGAATGAAAAACATTTAAACAATAAAGCTCTATTCTGTTAGTTTATCATTCAAATTCAGAGGAGTTACATAAACAGTTTTCACACCAACAAAAGTTAAAGCAATCTATGGCCATTAAACTAGTTCTGCAAATATTAAATACTAAATAGTCCTTTGTAAAAGACAAAGAAATCCTACTTAGGAAATAGTAAGCTGCAGAGTAATAAAGGGGTCTTTTTTTATGAACTCAAGACTTTCTTCCTAATAAGGAGTCAACTTAATAGGGGATGTGAGTTTTGAACATGGGATGCAAATTTGATGGCAATATAAAAACAAATATTATTAGAAATTACAAACAAAAGTAAAATGGAACCAGATCACTACCTAATAGGCAGACATCAAAGTATAAAAAAAAGATAAATGTGACCCTCACAATCCACATATTAAAATGATAGTCAATCACTCTATCACTGTCATCCCAATAATTGTTGAATTGCTTGAGCGGGTGCAGTAATATCTCTATTCCTCCCAGCCCTGAGATATTTAGCAGCCTCTTATTACTTGTATTTTCCCAATGATTGGAGGCTCTTTCAGGGTCAGGGGAATGAGACCTGTTGTCATTACTGTATTTGGCATATTGAATACACCATGAGGAGCTTGCCAGGCTCTGCCCATGTAGGCAGATACTCTTGATAACTAGCCGGGCTCTTGGAGAGACATATATTTATATGTTTTTTTCTATGATTTGTTGCCTACTGTCTGAACCCCATCAGATATGGTGTATCAATTGTGGAAAATTGGTAGAAAGCAGCTTATAATATGTCACATGGCCACAAAGCGGCCTGGAGCGTGGCAATGGTTCGGTAGTGGAGGTCGGCTGACGGGGCTGGGTCCCTTGGTGTGGGGAGGGCTCTCACCCACCCCACAGCCTGGAGCAGAGTCTGGTGGCATGGTTCTGGAAGCCTCCTTTTATACTCCTGTTGTTAGGACGAGGATCGTGATCTCCCTTTAAGGACAAAGAGACTCCAGAGACTGCAAACAGCAAGCAAGGTTTATTGTAAGACTGGCTAGCCAGGGTTGAGCCGCCTACACAGACATGCAAGTCAGATAGGTGAGGCAAGACCCCGAACTTCTTCAAAGGGGATTTTATATAGGCCTTCACTGGCCATTACAGCAAAGCCCGTGCATTTCATAGCCAATAGATTTGTAACAACATATACTTTCTTAACCAATCCATTTAAAAGTACATCACTCCTTAGCCTATAGATTCAAAGATCAGCATTTTCATACATAGGCATTGTGGCTAGTGGGCATCTGGTAACTAGGACATTTGGTTATCATCTGGCTTCCTTTGATTCAGTGGAAGTGGATAAGGGAAAAGTTCCTAACAGAGGTAACAGATAAGGAAGTGCCAACAAAAGGTTTCTGAATTTACATCCCAGCAGGAAAGAGTCAACAAATGGTTTCAGAATTTACATCCCAATAAGGAAGGGCTTCACAGCTAAGGCTCTACTAGGGAGGGGGCAGGAAAGGGAGAGTTACTAATTAGTAGAGTTTTAACTCTGGAATCTCCTTCAGGGTCCCAAGGGACCTTACATCATATGGGAGGAGCATCCTGAGTTCTGGAGGGTGGCCAATGAGAGATTATCCAGTGCCAGTGGTGTGTGGCTTAAAGGTGTGATCCATGAGTCAATGGAGACTAGGGGAAGCAGGTAGAGGATCTCTGTTCTGGGGTCCCGTTGAGTCCAAAGTCCAAGGTCAAGAAGTTCTGAATTATCTGGGTTCCATGGGACTTTATTCATGCCTGAGGCTCGGCCTGAGTATCCGGAAAGCAGCCTGGAGCATGGCGGTGGTTGGGCAATGGGGGGCAGTTGCCAGGTCTGGGTCCCTTGGGGTGGGGAGGGCTCTCACCCACCTCACAGTCTGGCAAGGAGTCCCAAAATTTTTCCCAAATGTCAGTGGCCTAAAGTCACCAATCAAAAAGTTCAGAGTGGCCAGGTAGACTAGGAGACAAAATTCAACATTCTGTTCTTTACCAAAGACACACTTGAACTTTTCATGATAAACACAGATTTTAAGTAAAAGAATGGAGAACAATATTGCAATCATATTGCATATTGTAGTCTAAAATAGGCAAGGACAGGTATACTTTGATTAGACACAATAGATTCCCATGTATTTTATGGCCTCTGGTCAAATCCCTAGGTTTGTAGTCCATTTTGAAATAATTTTTGCATATGTTGTGGGATACGAATCCAGTTTCAATCATTCGCATGTTTTTCAACACCATTGTTGAAGAAGCTTTCTTTTTCCTTGCTCCATTTCAGGTACCTATCATCTTTGCTGACAATATTCAGCTTGACTGTGCAGGTTGTCTGAGTTAGCACTTGGGCTCTTCAGTATCTTTTTAGATCCCATTGTTATGAAGGTAGAGATCAGTAAATTGGATCAGAAGTGAAAGGGGAAAAGTTCAAACAATACTACAGAGGATACAAAAGAATTTAATATTAACAACTTTTTGACACATAATGTAAAAATCCTAGAAAAATATTGTTTAAAATTTTATAACCAGACAATTTCAGAGACTAAACCATGAGTAAGAATAAAACCCGAATAGACTGATGACTAGTATATAAAGTGAAAAAGTAATCAAAAGTTTCCCCTTCAAGAGCTCATTAGCAAGTTCTTTCAGACCTTCAAAGTGAAACTGCTATCTGTTCTTAAATTCTTCTGAAATTTGGAAACAAATTCTTCCAACAGTGTCTGAAGCCAGTATCCTCTTTGTTGTTGTTACTATGGCACAGCTTTACTGAAACTAAGCTAAAAGAGAGGCTAAAATAATACTAGTATAGATCGGAACTCACTGTACTATTTTGAATTTTTCTTTGTTTTGAAGCTCAGTGCTTACTTCTCACTCTATGCTCAGGAATCACTCCTGACAGTGCTCTGGGGAACATATGGGATTTCAGATATTGAACCTGGGTCATCCTCCTGGAAGGCAAGCACTCTACCGACTGTAGTAGTAGGATAACATTGGTTTGTCCTTTCTCCCTTGCCACAGGAATCTTAGGTTTATTGAGTTACACCCATCACAATGCTCTGGAAGCACTCCTACTTCCTCACTTTTCATCTTAAACTTCTCTGTGCTCTGCTTCCCCTATCTGTTAATCACCTATATCCCCATATCAGATCCTGTGACTTGTAAGGTCAGATCCTTCTAAAGACACTGAATTTTGTATTTGTAAGTGAAATGTTGCTTTTCGCTTCCCCTTATGTCCTTTGCATGGTTTACTTTAGAGCAATGTTTTTTTTTTTTTTTGCATAGACACAAAAGGCAATTCATGCTATGTTTTTTTTTTTTTTTATAATTTATTTATTTATTGAATCACTGTGGGAAATGTTACAGAGCTTTCGAGTTTAGGTCTCAGTCATGTAAATATCAAACACATTTCCCTTTACCAATACTTATTTTTAACCCCGA